AAAATACAATTAAAATATCATATGTATAAAAGCAGATATAGAAAAAATTATATAAATTTTAAAAATATTCATAAAAGAAATATATGTATATAATTCAAAGGTAGCATAAAATTTTCAGCTGCAGGTTGGCATAACCAACAAATTGCAGATTTTTAAAACAGGAAATAGTACTTTGGGCAGCAGTATATTCAATTAAGTTGTCTTTTTATATATGTACAGAATACTGGTTAAAAGAGAAGGACATGTATTTAAGTATTTTTATTCAAGTATATTTATTTAAGTATAATCTTATTGTGCTGTTTTGAAGCGAAAGCCACTAGAATAATCTAAGGTTATTGTCCAGACTCTGAAGAGACAGAAACATGAGTCTAAATGATAAATAGGACCCAAATAAGTATCAGCAATACTTAATCATGCTGATGTTGGCAACGAGGTTTCATTCAAGTAAAAATACACTTATATATCCAACATGTATATCAAACTGATTTTTTTTTTTTTTCAGAGAACTACAATCACATTGTTTTGCAGTTTACAGTACTGTTCAAACTGGAAAAAAACTGTTTAAAAAAAAACACACCTCAGTGTCTATTTTATCCTTCAGCCTCAAGACACAACCAAGTCTTCTTCAACTATTTCTGACAAATGTTTGTCTAAGTTGGTTTTAAAAATCATTGTGTAGATTCTACAAAAATCTCTATATATCCTATTCTAGGATAATAAATATATAAAAATAAAAATACACCTAATTTTCTGGTACTAACACAAATGTCTGTTGATGCAGTTTACAGCTGCTACAAGTCATCTTCTCCCTAAAATAACAGAATTGCAAAAGGTCGTATTTGTCTTTAACATACACATATAACTTACACGAGAGAATGCTACTTACTTCCTTTCTGTCTTCCTCTGACTATACTAAGAAGTTTAATTCTTTACAACACTCCCATATGGAATGACAGAGGTGTATCAGGAATGACTAAAAGAATCTGGTTTGGGGTTTGTTTTTTTTTTGGGGGGTTTTTTTTTTGTGCGTGCGGTTTGTTTTTTTTTATTTCAATTGCACCTCGTTTTCCTCCATCCCATTCAGGTTCATGTTTCTTTGAACTATGTGCTAGCATGAACCACATTCACTCTCAGACACATTTCTTCAGCTTAGCTCTTATTAAAGCTGAAGAGAGAAGAAAGATTGTTCCATGTGTTTTTCAGGCACTAATTCCAGTATAAAGCTTAAGCCTCCTACTGTGACGTTTCAGGTTCTACACAGATTAAGACTTCAGTCTGTGACCAGATTGGTCACAACTGCAGTTAGAACCAGAAGCTACTGCTTAGGTATGGACTCTCATCTTATATGTGCATAAATGATAACTCCTCTTTAAATATTGTACCTACCTCTGTTGAATTCCATATGATTTATTTTACAGCATTTCTTCAATATAGTGATATTATTATTATCTTACAAAATAGTAGGACACAAGCCAAAACAGTAATTGGATCCAAACCAAAACAGTAATCCTAACCCAAATTAGTAAACATCCTACAAATGCCTGAGGTCCTTGGTACTTATAGAAAATGCATCACGAACGTTCCTTATTCACTTCATTGAAATATTGAAATAACTGAGGAAGACAGTATTTTGAATAATACCTGAAACACACCTGACAGTTACAAAAAATTCTTTGACATATTCTGTAAGTTTAACACCTTGGTAGCTTCTCGTGAAGTATACTCCCACATCTCCCAGGCAATCATCTTAAATGACATGAAGCAGAATAGTCTAGATATGTCCCACAAGGACAGGAAAAGTAATCAGCAAATGATGCACAGAACTTTATCATTCTTAGTGACTTTAAGAGTCTGATGGGAGTGATGGCTGGTGGGCCGAGATACTGAGGGTTGAAAGCAAATCCATATTCCTATAGGTTTGGCAACTATTGATTTACCTCCTATCTCTTCTGTCACCTTAATATCAGAATTTTAAACACTATCTAAAGTATCTGAAAGTTACAGTGCATTAAATCTTTTGCTTATTGTTTATTCCTTTTGCTGTGACCTGTCACAGCCAAAAATCAGTAGGTTTATTCTTAAATACATACATCTTTGTACTCCATTATTGGCTAAGTGTTTAGAATTATGTCATTGTTTTGTTCTCTTGGAATACAAGGTAAATTGACTGCCATATAATTCCTCAGGTTACCCATTTCCCACCTTTTTTTAAAAGCAACATTAAACTTTCCAGGCTGCTGGCACTTCATCGAAGCTCTGCAACTCTCAGAGATAATCACTAAAAGTTGAGATTGCTTCAGCATCTCAAGAGCTCTGAAAAAGCCTACTATTAAAAAAGTGAACTGGGTATGATTCAAGTATGTGTAAGTAACAGTTATTAACATCCTTGAAACTTTCAGATTTTTGCTGTTTAACTTGCCTACTATCTATTTACGCCTACATCTTTCAGCTGACAATGAACGGTTCACATTGATGTGTGAACATGTAATAACAAACAATACAAGATAGCGGACTATGAATGACAAGTTTTAAGAAAATTTAATACTAGTGAGATCTATTCAATCTTCAAAATTTCATTAAAACTTCCCAACTAAACAAGAATTCATGACATTAAGACTGTGAATTTTTTACTCCAAACGTATCTGAACAAAGACCTCTCTGGGGCATAAGTTCATTTCACTCACGTCACCAAATCAAAGCTATAGAAAAATGAAGTCAGCACTAATGATTTAGCTGCACAGTAATCAATACACACACAAAATCACAGCAATTTGGTTAAATATATGATAGCCAAAGATTATTTTCTGTATGGTTTTAATATCTCTTCTACTACTTCAATCTCACCTCCTCAAATAGTTTGCCCAAAAAGTGTTTTCCCTAAAACTCAATCTTCCTTATTTTCAGAAACTCACATGCATCACAACAGAACAAAACTAAACCTATTCAGTAAAATGTGTACAATTTTTCACAAAATAATGCTCTCCTCAGGTGTGAATTTTTCCCCTAGAAGTTTGACAAAGAAAAGTCCAGGCCAAGTCAAGCCTTAATCTTCTCCCCAACATTTACCTTCTTTTATCATATTATCCAGTTTAACCTTTTATTATAACCCAGTTTTACCTTTATTGCCCCACAGTGAATGTGTCATTATCTCACTATTTCTGTTATCTTTCACCTACTGCAACACTATCTAGATATCTTCTTCAAGAGTATTTTTAAAATAACCTGAAAAACTCAGAACAATTTTAGAATCATTTCTACAATGCAGCAGTTACAAATTATAAGGCTTTTAAGAATTTTAATATTTCTCAGTGACTTTTGATTTTAAAAACGATAGTCAAAACCCAAACATCTGTACAAATTTACCCTCTAATGTATTGCTGTTATATTGCAGTTATTACCAGGTTCCAAGGTTCTAATGTTCTAAAAATACTTTTTAAATGTTCTAAAATGTTTTCAGTGTTTTTAATAAAAACACCTGAATCAGTCCTATTGCTGTCATACCTGGCATTTCATGAATAAGAAGGTTCTCCTTTGAATTCCTATACTTGCATGTCATAGCTATACCTCCTCTGAAAAGAACACATCAGGGGCTTTCTAACCCTGTTTGCGTAACTGATTTTGAGTTAATAGCGACCTGTCACTTGCTAAAACAGACATGCATTTTGGCTTGGCCTTCCCCTGACTCCAGAACACCAGTTACAAAAGTAGTTCACGAGATCCCGAAACTCACAACTGCCTGATGAGGAAGGTTTCCTGGTTACCAATGAAAGATGAAAATTGGATTTTACCTAGGAAGAATGCCTTTCCTACTAAAATGAAAATACATTACAGAAAGAGAAATTGATTCAATAAATATTTTAATAGCTATTCACTGAGAGAACACAGAACTAAACATCACAGATGGGCCATATTTTTGTAATGAGCAGTTCTAAGTCACTTTTGCCTTTTTCCTTCCCCCCCCTCACCTGCAGTTAAGGAAATATGTGAATTAAAAGTACCAGTTCCTCTTTTATTTCTGTAACTCGAGGCGTCCACAAAGGAACCTTAAAATGTTGACAGTGCACAAAAAGAAAATGAAAGTGTTTATATTTATTGCTACCTCCAGTTTGCTAATGCTACAATTGCAAATTTCCTACAGACGACATTCATAACTGCAAGAAGTGATGTTTGACAAAGCGATACTGTATTTTCCAGTAGTTTGAATTCTCCTTTCCAACATACCTAAAATTTTTATGATGTCATTTAACAATTTAAATTTTGGAGGCAACTGAAATAACTGCTTTTAATTCAACAACTGAATAAAGAAAAACTATGTTGCCATCAAAACTGATTATCACATTTCCTGTTTTAGGGAAAACAAATATTAGATGACTTCGGGGACAAATGAGAGATTGGTAAAATGTAAAATTTTAAACTGTTTGGGTTTTTTTTCTTTTAAATTATATATGTTTAAGGATTCTGCGTGTCCATTTAATTCTTCCAGTTTAAAACTCCTTTTCCGCTTTTTTAAAATAAAATCATAGGCATTCAGGAGCTTCACAAGTGAAACCCTTTATTGCTTATGCAGTATGGTAAACCTTAAATGCTGTAAAAGAACAAATTCATTCTTAACTAATTTATTATTCTCTTTCCCTTTCTGTGTTCTCCAGCTACCTAAATGTACTTATCAAAAGTCAAAAATATTTAGAGGAAATCTTATTTTTTCTCTCTCTTATGTGCATTTCTCTCTCTTATGTGCATTTAAATTTTCAGTTGTTTCCTTGAAAAATATTTTACACACAACTATATTTCTGTTAGCCAATCCTTTTCAAGAGCATATAAATCTAAGTTTGTCTGTCAAAATGGTATTACATTCTACATCAAAATCTAATAATATTTTACAAATAATTTTTCCCTAGCAAGTGTGTGATCAGAAAAACTACACAGGCTACATGCCGCATGGACCTTAAATCTCTTATATCTCTAATGTGCTAGATAACTAAGCAATGTGTGAAACTTACGGCTGTCCAGGCTTCTTTTCTGCATCGAGAACATAACCATTCAGTATGGATTTCATAAGAAGGAACACCATAACAACCTACAATAAGAGAGCTGGATTGAGTAATATATTCTGCCTATTATACAATTCAATTATGTATAAATATTAGTAAAATAAATGTCCTGTGACCATGGAGACCTTTGCAATCTACACTTACTGCTAATTCCATAGTCTATGAAATACATAATTAGACGCACAGACAATCCTCCCAAAACTAAAAAAAGATAAAAACAAAAAATAAAACACCAAATCAAAAATCAAAACAAAATGAAAAAACCCACAAAACCAAAACCCAAGCCCCAAATAAACAAACCCCAGAGAATTTATTTTCTGGGTTTGAAAATAAGAAAAAATTTATTTTTCTTATTTTTCTTATATTTTATTAGATAACAGATTTCCAATTCTCTCTGCAACAAGAGTGTACAGTCTGAATTAATGCACTAACATTTATTCTATGCAATTCTACTTCACTTCCCTGTAAGAATTTCACATGGACTTCTCTGAGGTAACTATTCAGGCCCTACTGTCTGTAGAAGATAATGCAGAAAATCCATGCATTCATCAATCACTCTTGAAATAAAAAGAATGCAAGGTGAAGGATATTACTATATACCTAATGTCAATAGTAATATTCACAAGTCCTCAAACCCAGCAGGATTTCACCCTGACTACTTAGTAAGGACATACTAATATCACAGAGCACAGTGTTTTCAAATATGAGAAGCAGAAGAGGAATTTAATTGCTCAGAATTGAAACAAGAATCAGAAGTCTACAGAAAAGTTAACATAGTTTTTAAAATATTTGGCCAGTGATTGGAGCATTCCATGTGGAAATGTTCTTCAAGTATTTTTATAGGCATACTAGAAGCCTAGTTAACTATTATTTATCAGTAACACAAAATTTGAAATTACATTTCTGTCAACTGAACAGTTAGTGTATTTACTTGCATGAACCCGTACACAACACTTCACACAGCAAATCAGAAGACTTGTTCCATCTTCTTCAATAAAGGCATTTGATGGATAGTTTTCGGTGTTTTCCTCACTATAAATAAAACACATCTCTGGAATAAGAGGTTTGGTCTTCTCATTTTCAGCCATCAGTGTTTCTGCTGAGTTTGCTTCCCTGAAAGCAGGGCTTTCTTCATCATGATTGTCTGGCTAGAAAATAAGCAAAATTTATATTTAGGTAAAAGAAAGGAGAGTCTTACTTTTCCTTTTGACAATGACAAAATGACTTCTCCCCTCCTAGCTTTTGCACTAAGAATATAACAGTTTTATCAGAATATTAACTGCTTCTAGGTATTTATCACAGTCATTCTATAGTTTCTTGACTGTTGAAATAACTTTGAAATCTATAATAGCACAAACCAGTGTTACTAAAGCAGTGTTCAATGATACTGTACCTCTGTGTCCTTCTGAACCCTTTAACTAGGTCTACTGCAAATAAAAGCTTTCTTCCTAGTCCCCGTGATAAGGGATTCCAGTTTAACAGCTCCAGAACTAGGACCATAGTACTATGGCAGCATTTTTAGCTGACATTTGACACAAGAATTCCGTAAAGTATCAAACGGTGCCCTGCATTAGACTTCTCTGTGAGAATATTATTCCTGAGAAGGCCTAAGTACTGTGAAAACTCTTATTTCTTCAGCACTACAAGAAGACATAGAAAAGGCTCCAATTAAAAAAAACACTTTAAGATGGACATATAAGGAAATAGCTGAAAGCTATCAATCTATGTGGATTCGACACCTCAGAAAGTGTAACTTCAAGGGCAAGCACACATACACTAATATCAATCCTACATAGTAGAAGGCATACACTGTCAGCAACCAAGGATAAACAGAGGTGAACAGTGTCTCAGTTCTAATTTTAACAGTAGTTATCTCATAAAAATCAGATGCATAAGCTTATTTTATCTCTAATTTATTGGAAATTAGATAACTGGGCAGCTATTTCACACTTCACCTCGAGATGGAGCTGTTAGGATCTTGCTTACCCTATAGTATGGCATGAGAAGAGTGCAAATGGCACAGTGGGGTTCCTTTTTTGCACAAGCTGCATTGTATTCTTTTTCAGCATTGAAATTGGATACCCCTGTCTGCCAAAGGTAGACCAGAGGCCTGGCCCATATCTCTGTCTCTTGAACTTTCTCTTCGATTGAAGTAGTCTCAGGCAGTTCTTAAAGAAAACAAATAATTAGTCACATTGTAGACCTAGAATGAAGACAAACAACAATGATTTGCTAACAATGAAGATAAAACAATGTTTTAAGAAGTCTATGTGAATGCAAATGCAGAAGTCTAAAAGAATTATAAGGTACTTTTCTGCGCACTTCTCCTGATACATCATTCATGACTTTCTGCATTATGAGCTGACTGCCACACATACAGTGTAAGAAAGTAAGCCACTAGCTCTACTGCTTACAATCTGAATTCATTCTCAATGTTACATCTCACTTTCCCATTTCTTTATTCCTCCAACCCCTTATCCCTCCATGTATTCTGTCCTGAATTCCTTATAGATTGAACATGTTGCATCCTGACAAGCAGCACCAAATGAACAACTCCATTCACCCACAATGGCACCTCTCAACTCTTCATGGAAATTGACACTCATTTTCCAAAGGAAAAAAGAAACAAATGTTACAGCCAGTGAGCAACAGAGAACAATCAGATCTACCACGCAGCTGAACATGTAAGCTGGATCCCATTTCAGGAATAATTATTTGGTAGTATCTGTGATCTGTTCCAGATGTTGTAAAAGGTAGCTGTACTGATGAAGGACTCCATAAACCTGACTTTATGAAATTAAAAGGTCTAGAGAAGCCGGAAATAAAATCAGATTGAAACTTAAAAGAGAAACAGCTCATTCAATAGCAGTAATCTAGAAATGAGTCATTGGCTCTTGAGAAAGACTTGGAAAAGGGAAAGCTGTGAAAAAGACTGGATATGAAACCTTTGCCCCACTGGAATCAACAGCATAATTATTAATGATCTATTTGTTTACAACAGAATTTAAACCTAGTCACGTCTGAGCTCGCTGGAAATCTCCAGATAGTCTCACAGGCAACCTAGTGATTTTACCACCTGTGAAACATAGATTATTAGGAGGAAATGTCTTCATTCTAGAAATGAAAGCATTACTGGTAAGAGATGTTAAGTACATTCCTCTGAATTGTGTCCTTATATGCTGCTCTAATGATGAGGTCTGTGGTTCTGTTCATTCAAGTGGGTAGTGTCTATTAAGTCTTTCATAGGTGTCAATTAGAATAATTGAAATAACATGAATGTGAGAAGAAAAATGTGGAAAGCTACTGAATAGAACTTTCAGGTAACAAAAAAAGGTCTACAGCATATAGTCCTTTCCTAATTATGTATTTAAGACAAATTGTTCATTTCAAAAGAATACAATTCCTACAATAGAGAAATGTTTAATGAAGTACAGTAAGCTGAATCACCACATTCCTTCAGCCCATGACTGCCTTCATCCACTTTACAAAAAAGTGGAGGCTTTATGGGTCTCCTCCTATGATAAATTGTCACACATTGCTACAAAAGCACTATAAAGTCGATAGCATTTTTATCAATGTTGAGTGTAATATGATTAAAATATTTGTCTACAACCAAGCCAAATGCTAAAAAAAGTATTTAATATATTTTGGATGTGAATTTTATTTCATTTTTTATAGTCCCTCGAGAGGACTTAATATCAATCCAATCAACATTTGCCAATAATCCAGGTAGAAGGAAAAATACAAAACATCTGCATAAAAAGCTGTCACCAAGTCATTATTCAACAGCAGAATTTTACGGTGAATAACAGATCTGTAATAGAATAGCAGTAAATAAATATCTGAAACCAAGGAAGAGATTAAAATATAAAATGCCAGCATTACCTTTATAGCTTTCTGAATTTCTTATTTTTTAAGTTAAAACCTTAACTAAGCTTTCAGTTAAAAACATTCCATCCAATCATATTTTTTCTATTGCCTGCAATTTTACAGAACTGTAAAATAAATAGCTCTGAAATCTATGCCTCTAGTTCCTTTTCTATCTGTTTAAATTTTCCCTTACAGAACAGTCTCACAAGTGGCTTCATCTTTGCTAACTTACTTTCTGAAATCTTTCATTGACACTACTTTCTTTCAGGAGCTTATACTGCCATTATTTTAAATATCTTCATTATTGCTGTGACCTTACAATTCAGGGCTTGGTTGTGTGTTATGAAGAACACAAAGAGGAACACAAAATTTGTTGTGAACTTACATCTTCCATACCTATTATCCACTTTGAAACTTACATCCTTTCATTGCAGCACTCCTTTTCACTGCTAAATAATTCTCCCATGAGTGTTAAAAGTCTTCACACTGAACATCACCCTATTACGCTCCTCTTTCATCAGAAACCTGTCTTCAGATTTCCAGTCCTAGAATCTATTTTAGTGTGGTAGCTCCAGTTCTCTCACATAGTGCATAGCTCTAGTTCTCTCACATAGTGCTCTGGTTTCTACTGCCTCCAGCGCATCGCTGAGTTCATGACCGTATCGGTTTTGCTTTTGATGGGAACAATATTTATACTTTAAATACATAAAAATGCCACAATTTCAGTTCTCCTCGTGTGGTCTTTACAATTCTCTTCCAGATTGATGGACTGAAAAGAATGCAACATATAGGAAAAAAAGCTGGCAGCACACTTACAGCAATTTTTGGTTTTCTAGAGTTTTGTGTTTATTTTCAAACCTCATTCTGAATTAAGCCAGGGCAAAGTGTCACATGCAGATGTACTGGACTGCATCTTCCACAACTTTCCAAAAAAAACCCTAACAATATTTTCATAAATTTATTTTCTTTTTTACATTACATTTAGAGTAACTACATCAAGTTACTTACTGACCAGAAGTAAACTCTCCTGATTTGCCTCTGATCTCTAACATCTCCAATTATGCATTCTGTCTTCCTAGAGGTATGACCTTCTTCTCAACCCTTACTGCACTTTCTTAGTCTCTTTGCATGAACTATGGCACCCAAACTCTCTGATGCGATCCTTCTGCATATTACACCCTGCAATATGTCACCTTTCTCCATCAAAACGATCCCAGAACCACAGCCAGGAAAGTAAAAATATCCCTCCTGCTTTCAGACGGGAACTAGCTAACCCAATACTTCTTAAAGGAATGCTACAGGTAGAATATGCAATCTCCTATGTAATGTTATACATCAGTAGAACTTGGGCAGTTTCACTTTGTGTGCTTTTTCCAAGGTGTACCAGTATCATTGATAGGAAGAATTTCCATGTCAGCTTCTCAGATAGTACAAATACAGTTACCTTCCTGGTTTCCATGAAGTCAGGTAAGTTATATACCATGAATGAAAACTGAGAACCTGGTTATCCAAAACAGACAAGGAAATAAAAAACAGATCTCCAACTATTTGAGAGAAAGCAGAGAGTATATAATCACTTGATGTAACAAACACTGCTGTCTCGGCAGAGTTTATTGCCTTTCTTCACTTGTCCATTTGATAACTCAAAAATACTAGTCATGTCCCAAAAGAACTTGGATTTTAGGAGGCTTTGTAGAGGGATTTTTGCTATTTATCTAGTACTCCTCACTTCCTCTTACTCTCTTTAATGACTCCTTTCATTATTTAACACATAACTGAATAGCAATCAGCGACTCAACCTTTAATAAATCTACTTTCCTGACTCATATTGCTACAAGCTGTTTCAGGGTAGTCATTCAGGTGCTTCATGTGATCGTAGTGGTTTTTTGACCAGGTATGTCTGTTAGAAGTATGGAAGTACCCAGCATCTTTGTATGCTTCTATGCAATGGTGTAAGGGACACAAGGCAACAGCAACCTCCAGTTGCCTCCATTCAAAATCCACCTTAACTGAGGATTCTAAAAGTAAGAATAGAGAACAATTTGTGGAGTCTCTACTGACATAAGCAGGCGTAATTGCTACCTCAATTATGTATCAATACAATTTCACAGTACTCAAGACATGCAAAAAGCTTGGTGGAAACATCATTCCCCACAGTGAAAGAGACTCAAACATTGCCCTCAAAAAATCACGCATCTACTTTACAAGACCAGTACAATATGTTTTATGAAGCACTATGGACATGATGTTTCACTAAAGATCTTGTATATTGGCATTCTTCTAAAGAGCCTAGAATGTTGTCTCAGTTCTGGTATAGCAAGTTTCAATGAACAGTCATTTATGCAGTGCTGCCAAACAATACCACTCTATGATACATGTCATTATTCAGTCTAGCCTTCTTTGCAATAAACTGGCCTCTGTAAGAGCAGCTACCAGTGGTCCAAGACAGACAAGCCGTTAAGATCCAGGTCAGCCAATGCAGTGATATGAAACACAATATATACCTGTGGAGAGCATTTTCTTTGTACAACACATGAAATGGAGCTAGGAACTCTATCATGACTTCTGTATCTATTGTAACCTGGATAAAATTTCCTCACAGTTCATTTCCAGTAAGCACATGAACAGGACTCTGCACACGTGTAGCAAAATTCCCTGGTGAGAACTCCGATGTGAACTTAGTTTTTATAGTTTTTCAGCATGAAACTTACATTCCAAATTAATAATTAATCAAGACAAAAGAAAATAATGAATTCTTTATATTCTTCAGTAAAGAAACATCAAATCAACTTGCTGTCAGAGGGAATAAAAGAAAATACAGGAAATGGACCTGCTAGCCATGACAAGGAAACTCAATATAGATCTGCAGCTCAATTGACAGCACTGTTGAAGAGACTGCAAACTCTCATGAATAACACATAGGCACACAAATACTCACAGAACCATCCTTAGAGTGTTTAGTCGATATATTCCCATTGTTTAATCTCTATGTGAATCAAGACATTATAGTTCCAGTAATTATTCCCATAGCTTGTGAGGCCATCACATCAGCTACAAAAACAAACATCTCTTTAAGAGAACACCTTCTCACGCAACAACATGTTCAACTGTAAATGTTTTGCTTAACCTGAAATAAAGGTGTTACTTACAGGAATTCAGAATTCCTTAACAATGCAACAGAACTATAACTATTGATTCACTTTATTACAGGCAAGCTCACTCTTTTCTCGAGACCATTTTTCTCCAAGAACTTCAGTAGATAAGACACCATCCTCAAAGGCTGACTATACAAAGGTGT